CCCCAGAAATTGCTCTGAACTGCGACTTTCAAGCAGGCAGGTGAGACTTTGGGGCTTCCAAACAATACCACGTGTGGTTGTCCAAGGTCAGGACAGGAGACCTCCTTGGATCTGATTGTCCATGTGTTGAGAACTGTATTTTCAAGGGTGTGGAATGTGGTGAGGAGCTACACCCCATGTAGCCATCCAATGCTGGACATAATGAATGTAATGAATATGATGAATATAATGAATCCAGCACTGGGCAGTTGACTACTGCAGGTCCTGCTCATCCTTTGAGTTAAGATGCTGGAATTCCAAAATGTCTGCTTTAGTGTCTTTTCACCCCAATAAACCCATCCCTAAAAAAAGTGCATTGATGATGGAAGGAATAATTTCTTTGAAAATATTGTGAGAAGAAATCTCCAAGCACTAAATAAATTAAAACTGTTACTTTGAAGTAAATAGAATTATAAAAAAATCATCAACAATGAAAAAATGTAAAAGTGGAGAAAGATGATTCAAAGATCTGGCTCAACTCAACTGCTCCTCCTAGCGTCGATAACTGCTCTTACGTCCTCTCACATTTCTAAACAACTGGCAAAGAAATTGAAAGTTCTAACTGACTTTGCCATATACTATTATTTTAGAAAATTTTAGTAACAATAAGGCAGAGTAGAAAACAGGGCCTTTTGGTTTCTTGAGAAGGCAATGATTTAAATTTTAATGGAATGCAATCAGATATGACAACAAGAAAAATACAATAGAGAACCACCAACATAAACATACAGAGTAAAATTTATGTTATCCCTCTAAATATTATTTTAAACACATTAGGTTTTATGCACATGTGTAACACAACTATCTAGCAATTTTTAAAATATGTTTTGGAAGTTAATTATCAAATTAGATAAAATATTCAAAGAAAGTTCAAGAACACAAAGTTGGGAAACACTTCTGCATCTAAATTAGGGTTTGTGACTTTGCTGGTACACTAAATACATGCAGGTAAATGTCTCCTTCTTCTCTATTTTTGTATTTCCATAAAGGTAGCTTCATTACAATATCTCTTATATTTATTACACATTTTAAAGTATCAATTTTTTAAATTCTTAGCAGAAATCCAGTTGAGCTTTAACTAGAAGGATTATAAGCAGAACTAGAGCATGTGGGTGGAGCTAGCAGGACAAGGTTGGCATACATGTATTCAAGTCTGTGGATGTGCTTTACTTCATCAGCCAGAGCTATGTTTTCCGAATCTGTCTTTTGTGACTTTGGGGGTTTATCCTTAGTTCTCTCTCTGCTACTTTCAAACCTCCAGAATTGTTCAGCTGTTAAAAAGTTCCAAAACAAGCAAATGTGTTCCTGGAATCCTACCCTTAACTGCGCTGGAGAGCATATACTAAGGCTTCTTCTCCAGCCAAAATAATAAAAGATCTTTTAAGTGGTCGAAATTCTTGGTTGATTGCACATACATGCCAATGTCAGACAACTATAAATAGAGAGATTTGGAAGAAAAATAGGGAAAGTCTTTATAACTCCAATGAAATAAAATGGAATGTTTTGAAGGCAGTCAGAAAACAGTACATGTATTTATAAAATTAAGATTTGTCTCCCTTTAATCCCATATCCCCTGTAAGCAGGATGCACTTCCAGGATGAGGGAATAAAAGGACTTTCTTTCCTTTATTAATATGTATTTATTATTCTCAATCCTATAATTAAGATTTCTTCTTCGTATTATCCTTTTGAGTTTAGATATCTGCTGGATTGTTTGATATTTTTCTCCCATCACTGCTTTGTTTCCCCAGAATACTAAAAAATCCTTCAAAGGATAAAATCATGCCGATGGTTACTGGTATAAATGAAGTCAGCAGGGAATTACACGGGGGTTACCTAGGGCAGACTTGGACCCAAAATAAACTGGGTCACTTGTTATAGCCTTTCAAAGAGAGGATTCATTTCTCTAGAAATTCTTAACTATCTTGGGCAGGTTAACATATCCACTAACTTTAATAGGTGAATTAATGCACGTTTGTTACTTAATTTTGAACGGTGACTTACTTTTTCTATATTAACCTACCCATCTTATATTAACTCATCTAAATGGAATTCAAATTAGTTCTTGCAAATTAGTTCACTTTACTTTGAACCTATTACTGCTGTACAAGAGAATTTACCAATTGCTTTAGTTTCGTAATTGTGCTGTAGACAAGCAAATTAGTTAGCAACAGAGAAAGCCAGAACTTGCTTCATAGCCTTTAAATTCAGTTCTTCTGAATCTAGACCTCACTCTGAAGTAAGAGATGTTGAAATGTCGATGATGGTTGCAAGGTCACAAGTCCATTTGAAGAAAGAATCAATAACATAAGTAATGTCTCTGAATTCTCAGTTCTCTCTAAATTGCATTGGGTTTGAATTGGTTAGAGGCTATAGCTTGGCTCTAAGGATTCAGTACATAACACTGGGATACCAGAAAGTAATATTTTTATAATATTTTTAGTGATGATTTTATTACATAATGTTTTCTAAAACAAATCCTTAAGTCAACAAAAAATAAGACTTATGGGGACTTAAAAATAGCATGGTTCTGAACAAGTCATGTTTATAATTTTAAAATCAAGCCCAGTTTTTAATATTTTTCCTAAAATGTTTTAAAAGTAATCTGAGGGTACAACTCAATTTATTAAATGACTTTGAATTAATTCTAATTTTTTTAAAAAAGCATATGTGATATAGAGATTAAAAGAAAGAGATGAACTACAATTCTACCAACTGATTAAACAGACTTTACATGAAAATGTAATACTTCCTTCAGTATGTTAGAACTTCTTTTCCTAGAAAAATTATAAATCCTATGTTTATGGAAAATGCAAATAATAAATGTCTCTGAAGTGATATCTCAAAGAGAAACTGTGTTCTTATTTTGTGAAAAATCATACTCTGAAGAATTCTTATTTGCCCTCAAAAGTAAAAGAATATTTACTGATATCTAGCATCTTTTAAGAAAAATTTAGAGATTGAGGACAACGCACATAGTTTTTAAAATTTCTAAAGCAGCAATACCAGAAGATTGCACATCCTGATTTTTATCAATGGAATTAACTACTTTTGTTGTGACATGAATGATACCTCTCGGAGAAAGGAAAGCACCAGGTCTTAGGTGGTCAGAATGAAGTGAAGCAATGCAAAGCCTGAATACTACGTCAACTTTATTTTCCTTTTTGAAAGACATGAAATAACCTAGTTTCTCCTGGGGTAGATTAATGTAAATGCACAAAAGTATCTTCTCTGAGAGGCATCTCACTGGTCACTATGGAATAGTTGAACAAGAAAGGCCATTCACCTGGGCATGTATATGAGAATGCCTATGATGGTGGTGCTGAATACAAGCCGCGAAAGTGAACAACTGGAGGGGGTCAGGTGTAAATGGTGTGGGGTCATACCCACCAGAGGCCAGCGGAAGAAATACCACTCAGCATCGTCTACAGACCTCCCCTGTGTCTTCTGTAGACTATTCTAAGTGGATAAGAATTGTCATTTATTTTCCTGGGCGATTTGGAGGTCATTCTAGCTCTGTCCCTTAGAAAAAAGGAAATGGAGAGTTACCTAAACTGGAGGATTTTCTCCACAAATGCTTCTATGTGTAGATTTGCCAGATTTTCCTGTTACTTCAAAGATAGGGTTAGAGATTCAACTGCTTTATCAAGAACCACTTTCATAAAGAGGTTACCTGGTTGGCCAAACTTTTTGAACAATTATGAGAGCAGAATGTGTTTGATCATTTAATTAAAGTAGGAACTATATACTGCATGTATTACCTGGTGTATGAAAGCACGTAATTAAAATATGTTAGACCACTGATCAGTGAAGTGCGGGGGAGGGTAAAAGGGTGAAGAACACACACACAGTGCTCCCAGCAGAGGGTGTGCCTCCCAGGGGAGACTCTAGATACGAAGAACCGACTCTTCAAATGGCAAATACAAAACTCTGTGTTAGACAAAAATACTTATACCAGTGTGTTCCTCTAAGTACAAATTTAATCAAAATAAATTGCCAAATCTTTCAAATAAACCACTGCAGAATTTAAGGTATTCATTCCATGAGTTCCTTACAATAAGCTGTCCACTGTATCTACTGACAACATTGATTAAAGGTATTTTTATTATAAAAAGGTTTTTTCTTGTTTTTTTATTTTCATAACTGATGGCATCTAAAATTTAACATGTCATAACAGTAAAAAGTGAGACAATAACACTAAATTCTCCACTGACAAAATCTTATGACAAATTTTAGTTTATTTTATCAAAGCAGTTCCAGTTACCCTTTCCCCAGCATAATGCTTGAAATGTGATACCCACAAATAAACAGGAGTGACTCAATTACTCTGCTTTCCAACTTTCAATGATTTACTAACATGTTGGCTTGCAATAAAAGACCTCTGAATAACTTGAGAAACCCAGATCTTCATATTTCATCAAATTTCAAAATCCATAAATAAAACCATTTCAACAAGTTCAGATGAGAGAATAGAAATTAAATAAATGGAGTATGTATACTTCAAGTGATACATGTACTTAGTTTCCCAATAAGGCTTAGGAGGGAAATGGGTAAACTGGAAAAATCTGAAAATAAATTTTATCTAGCTCGAAGGTTGTCACCAACATTATTTAGATTAGAAAGTCAGTCATTATATTATACTTAATAAATGCTATGTTTCTGATGCTAAAATGTTTCTTCAATCTAGTTAACAAGAAGATTGACCACAATGAATTTTTGGATTTACAGCTCTGAAGCAATGCCACATTGCTCTAGGAACCCAAACTCATACAATACTGCTGGCTCAGGTTGAATACAGCTGGCACATGGTTAGGACCTAATAACTGTTTATTGGTTCAATGAATGGATGAATAGATAATTGGATGAACAAAAGAAAAAATGTCATGACAAACATATCAGGAGAGTGTTGAAAATTAAAAGAGAGAGAGAGAGAGAATGAACACAGTCTGTACAAAGACTTACTTATTCCATGCTTGTCTAAGGTTTTTAGAGCTGTACAGGGTAAAGCGTTCTGAAATAAAAAAGAAAAATGATAAACAATCTTTGTTTCAAATGTATATATTGCAAGCATGTTAAAAAAAAAAAAAAACCTCAACTTTTAAAAAGATAGTGTTCAATTTAGCCATAGTTATGCTAGTCATAGCAGGTTTTCACCTTTAGATCCAGCAGTTATAAAGAGTAAAACAGGAAGATCTTAATATTTTAAACAATGAAGCATTGTTTTCTTTTCTTTTCTTTTTTTTAGTTTTTGTTTTGTTTTGTTTTTGTTTTTAGGAAGATCAGCCCTGAGCTAACATCCATGCTAATCCTCCTCTTTTTGCTGAGGAAGACCAGCTCTGAGCTAACATCTATTGCCAATCCTCCTCGCCCCAAAGCCCCAGTAGATAGTTGTATGTCATAGTTGCACATCCTTCTCGTTGACATATGTGGGACGCGGCCTCAGCATGGCCAGAGAAGCGGTGCGTCGGTGCGTGCCCGGGATCCGAACCCGGGCCGCCAGTAGCGGAGCGCACGCACTTAACCGCTAAGCTACGGGGCCGGCCCTGAAGCATTGTTTTCTTTTGTCTAGGATGATTTATTCCATAATCTGGTTTCCTAGTAGTCTTGGAATAACTAAGTTTTAATTGGGTTGAAAAAAGAAAGGCAAATTCCAAACCTATGAACTGTAAGTAGGTTTACAGAAGAATATTGACACATTGGTCAAGTGAGACCTGTTGTTTTCTCTATGAAGACTTCGCTGACCAAACACAGTAACGCTAGCTCTCCTTTCTTACACTATATGGTATTTACACACGCTCAAAGCCAAACTATCAATGTCCTATAATGTGTATTTACATTTATCATAAAAAAATCTTTATATTTTTAAAATTAAAACGTCAACATGCTTGTTTTACCAAGTTAAACAATAAAGTGGCATAGAATAGATATTAATAATCTCCTATCCCACTCCCCATTTTTCACTCCTGATGATATAGCAATTGTTAATGGCTTCATATGTCACTTTTCACATATTTCTTTATGTTTATAAACACAAACCCATCCATATATACAAATATATATACTATTTAAATTTTTTAAATGGATTATACAGTAAACATTCTCTGAAATTTGTTTAGGAATTCAATAATATATAGCAGATAATCTTTTAATAATATATAGTGGATAGTTCTTCAAATCAAGGAAAATAGATGTAACAAATGATCTAAAACTGTATAATATTCCATAGGATAGAAGTACCATAAGTTATTTGACCATTCTCCTATTGATGAAAATTTAGGTAATTTCCAGTTCCTTTTCTCTTAAAAACAATGTCTCAATAAATATCCTTGCACATCTATCTGTATATACTGATGCTTTCATTTCTGTCGGATAGAGTCGCCAATATAGAACTCCTTGGCAAATGGTATACACATTTTACATTTTTGTGTGTGTGTGTGAGGAAGATCAGCCCTGAGCTAACATCTATGCCAATCCTCCTCTTTTTTGCTGAGGAAGACTGACCCTGGGTTAACATCTGTTCCCTTCTTCCTCCACTTTATATGGGACGCCACCACAGCATGGCTTGACAAGCGGTGCATCGGTGCATGCCTGAGATCTGAACCCGGGCTGCCAGCAGCAGAGTGCACACACTTAACTGCTACACCATGGGGCTGGCCCCCACATTTTACATTTTAATAGATGCTGACAGATTACTTTTCATTTTCCCATCAGCAATAAAAAAAAAAATGTCTTTTTTATATTATGCATCCCTGAGATGCAAGGATGGTTCAACATATGCAAATCAACAAATGTGATACACCACATTCATAGAATGAAAGATAAAAATCACATGGTCATCTCAATAGATGCAGAAAAAGCATTTGACAAATGCAAAATCCATTCATGATAAAAACTCCCAACAAATTGGGTGTAGAAGGAACATACCTCAACACAATAAAGTCCATATATGACAAGCCCACAGCTAATATCATACTCAATGGTGCAAATGTTGAAAGCTTTTCCTCTAAGATCAGGAAGAAGACAAGGGTGCCCACTCTCACCACTCTTATTCAATTCAGTACTAGAAGTCCTAGCCAGAGAAATTGGGGGAAAAAAAGAAAGAAAAGAGAGGGAGGGAGGGAGGGAGGGAGGAAGGAAGGAAGGAAGGAAGGAAGGAAGGAAGGAAGGAAGGAAGAAAAACTATTTCTTCACCAAAAAACTATTAGAACTAATAAACAAATTCAGTAAAGTTGCAGGACACAAAATTAATATACAAAAATCAACTGCATTTCTATACACTAACAATGAATTATCTGAAAAAAGAAATAAAGAAAACAATCCCACTTACAATAGCATCAAAAACAATAAAATACCTAGGAAAAAATTTAAACAAGGAGGTGAAAGATCTGTACACTGAAAACTGTAAGACATTGATGAAAGAAATTGAAAAAGACAAAAATAAATGGAAATATATTCCATGCTGATGACTGGAGCATCAAGATTCCAATGCCATTTTTTTTAACAGAAGTAGAAAAAAACAAACCCAAAATTCATATGGAACCACAAAAGACCCTAAATAGCCAAAGCAATCTTGAGAAAGAAGAACTAAGCTGGAGGCATCACATTCCCTGATTTCAAACTATATTACAAAGCTATAGTAATCAAAACAGTATGGTACTGGCATAAAAACAAACACATAGGGGAGTCAAGATGGCGGCGTAGGCAGACTCTGAACTCACCTCCTCCCGTGGACACAGCCAATGTACAACTACTCGTGGAAAAATTACCCCTGAGA